CCCTAATGCTGCGGAACTGACTGTAACGCGCTGGCAATTGTCGTGCTCTTCTGAACTGTAAAGCGTGCTAGGGAACACGAACGATTCTGTCCAGGTTTATGCTGCATCCTCGACTGTTGATGTTTGCCACTGAGCCCAGTGTTGTTCGAAATCGCCGGCACAAATCGTTTACACCGAAGATGGAAGCGGGATAAAATAGGCATGCGGACATGGAAGGGACGACCGTGACAAGGATTTGGCTATCCGGTTAATTAAATGACAATGGTAGACACACGTCGAAGGTTTATATCCAAGATACCATAGAAAAGATTTTATTTATGAGAGATTTTTTATATAGGCAATGTGCTATATAACGCGATAAATAGGTAAAGAAAACATACTTTTCCGAAATTTAAGCTGCTTTTAATTGTTGATTCTTTTACGTTTATTATTTTTGTAATAAATACTTGACCGTGTTATATTTCCTCGAATTACTGTACATATGTTACTGGAATATAGAATGTACAAGATAATGAGAGAAATATGAAATAACTAATATACATTTTATATAAATTTTAATATTGTTGATTCATAAAAATCGTCACGACACTCGCAGAGACTTTCTTTCAAAATAAGTTGCTTTTCTCTGTTCGACTTTGGTTTAAAGTTATTCGGTATAGAACTTGATTCCGTAAAAGACTCGGTAGTTACTCATGATTCATCGCATAAGCTTGACAACTGTTACGTCTCTGTGGCATCTCTGCGGCGTCTCTTATCGAGACGCTATCGGCCCAACGAAACGACGCCACAAATTCTACGCGACGTTTCAACGCGTGTTTCGGGCCGCCGCGCTGCTGGATTAAAGCGTCATCGTACCGTGTGACACGGAGTACAACTGCGATCCTACAAACGACTCTTCGGAGAATAAGCTCCCTTATAGTATTCATGGACTTTTGGGAATAGGTGGCTGTAGCGAAAAAGGATGAGAGAAAGAGAGAGAGTGAGACAGCCTCAACATTCGAGAGTATCTCTTTTGTCAACTCATTTTCGAAAAGTCTCCACGACGAGAAAGAGCAGCGACTCACTTTCCTTCCATGATGCAGATCTGTGTTGTTTATGCGACACCCTTGCATAGAGGGTGCTCTTTTGTTCACGCTTAATTTTCGCCGGGAAAATACCAGAAAATGAATTTCGGGGATAGCGGCGATATATTTCACGCCCAGTTGCGGTTCCGCACTTTACCCGCCCAGCTCTTCTTGTCGCGCGTGCTTTTGAGACTCTGAATGCGGATCACGATCTATCGTAAACCGCTCGAGGCGTTCATCACTGCGATTTAACTTTGCTGGATTCAATGTACGAACATTCGAAACATAGAGTTACGTTAGGGGATGTTTATGTAGTGTCTTTACGTCGGTGTTTCTAGAATAATGTATTTCTAAATCTGGGATTTTCCGCGATATAAACCGATATGAAAGATAGTTGGTTTCATGATAAAAAAACAAAAGTAAAGAAAAATAGTTTCAAGAAATACAATTTAAATACGTACACAGTAGCGGTCGGATAAAATAAAATGAATATAGCGTATAAAGAAAGATAAAATCAACTAAAAGATTAGAGAATACAAAAAAAATTCAATATAACAGAGAACTTTACACATAACATATATATAAATTAAGTTAAACTTTCAAAGTTCTCATTATATTAGATTTAAAATTTTTTTATTTTTATTTAATTAAATTAAAATTTTTTATTTAAAATGTTAAATAAATCTCGTATTATGCCCCCCCCCCCTCCGTCTATGAACGTGTATATAAATATAAAATTACGTATGAACAAAAATAGAGCTAACTTGATGTAAAAAATCTGTATTGTCCAAAAAATTGAGCAATCATAGAAACGTGAAATAATCGCAAGGCGTTATTGGTCTGCCGTGATACGTTTGTATCGTAACGCGGAGCATGTAATACGATCATAAAGTTATTAGTGTGAATGTTACACGCGTATGCATTCATGCGTTATATCAGGTTTACAATAACAGGAATACACCGCTCGAAATCGCTTCCTTTTCAAAGAGCAGACACAGAGCGAAATAAACCATAATTTTATTTATCTAACACAATCGAGCCGATCTTTGTAAAATTCTATAATAATAATAGTTTTCCATTTTATATAAATTTTCCTTTATCTTTAAGAACATTTAAATTTGTATTTTATAATTGATTTTCCTTCATAAAAATGTTCAATTGTAGATATCTTCTGAGGAATTAATAATTATAAAAAAAATGTGAACAAATGACTAGATATATAATAAAATTTAATTGTGTTTATCAATATTGCGATTTGAATTCCTGGATTGTTTATTTCTTGTATTTTATTCTCGTATTTATCTCTGTGTCGTAGTTTTAATTAGTTAAATTTTATTCATTTATCAGAAAACGATTAATAATAAACTCTATCGCTTTCTACTTCGTTAAAATAGCAAAGGTAACGTTGGTTCACTTAGACGGTTAGATAAGTGAAGGTGAGAAAAGTGAAGATGGAGCGTAGTTCACGTTAGCAGAAACTTTGCGATATTTTCCGCAGTTTTCGAGACAGGCGTGCGTTTAAACGCGAGAGAGTTTGCGACCTCTCCCTTGGATTGTTTTCCTTCGTCGTGGATAATTTCCCGTCTGCCACTTGCACCTCGCGCGGTAATTTATTGTAAACGCTAAGGCGGACGCGCTGGTTTAAACGATTTTCCTGATATGGCAGCGAGCGGACGGATGAAGACACGGAAACGCCTTCCGTCGCCACGTTAACGATTCATTACGGAAGTGTAAATTAGCAGAAACCGTATCTCGCTCGGTATTGCTCATAGCCGGAAACACGCTGTTATGACTAAAAAAATATTTATTTCTCAATATTGATACTCGAAGTGATTCACTTGAAATTCTCTTTGCGCGACGTAGGCATTTTTTCAACTACGTTTTCCTCAACAATTTAAAAATTAAATTAAATTTTGTAATTGTTAAAATAACAAATGTTATATTTTTAAATAAATTTTATATGTTCCTTCCATCAATAGATGGAATAAATAAAATCATGATTTAAAGCATATTGTTAATTGCAGAAATATTGAATATTACATATTTAAAAAATTAAAAAAATATTGCTTAATTAAATTTTTGTAAAGGAGAGATTGATTTTGACTTAATCCAATTTTTCGCAATATATAGAATAAATATTAGAATATAATAATCAAACAATCATATTGATTATTCTGTGTTGCATATATATTCATCTAATAAAACATGATAAAAATCGTCTTTTTGTATGTTACAATATGCACTCGTCTTTTTATTCTGAATGAATTGTGTTTTTTTTTTTTTATAAGCAACTGTGTCAATAACAGTAACAGTTGCAGAACAATGAAAACTTGTGAATGTATAACTATCACTGAATATAACTATCATTTTATTAAATCAAATGTATTGTGTCAGTGCGAGAGGCAAATATTTTTATAATGAAAACAATACTTTGCTTGTCACGCGTACGCGATTGATAAAATATTGTACTGATATTGTAATATCAGTATTTCGTACTTTGTAAACAATATAGCATCATTAAAAAGCAATAGAGCTGTAAGTAACAGCTAGATAAATAAATAGCATATAATTCGCATTAGTCAGTGTTTTATGAAAGAAATTTTTGACGTAAAGTAATTATAAATTATTCCACATTACTATTATCGTTACTTATTATGCACTTTCATTGTTTTATTTGTTTATAGAACTTTAATGTAGATGTTTTGCGTTTATTTTGTTGTCATTGATTTTATCTCTTTAAATATTTTGCCATAAGTAGGAAATATAGCAATTATAGTAAGATAATTTAGCTCTTTGTGTGCGAAAAAACGCAGTTGTCCTTCTTTTATTTTATGTCGAAAAATGCCAACAAATGCCACAATAGAAAATCACTAGTTCTTAAAAAACCAAGTTAAACTTTCAATTATATGAGAAATGGGAATACACTAAACTGTCCATCGTCTTATCCAGATCTCAGAGCTATCCTTAAATTAATATTAGGTTGAGTAACAAGACAAGAGAAGGAAATGTGATAACGTTTGTTGACATTTTTTGACATGAATAGAAGAAGCGCTGCTTGACGTTTTTCGCACGCATAGTTGCAATTGCTTTCGAAACTCAAATGGTTAAAAATGTAAAAATCTAAAATTTTCTTTGTCTAATAAAAATATTTAACTAATACAAAAGATATAAAGATTAAAAATACATAAAATTATGTGGATATCGAAAATATTTTTCTGTTCTCATGTAATAAACTATTTTATATCCATTTCATTTCTCTGTATGTACAATTTTAAAATATTTTTGCTCTGCACATAACTTAATTAATTTATTATTTCTTTTTTATATTATTCTGCGTTTTTAACTTATAATTAATAATAATATTTAAATACTAACAACGCAGCATTGAAAGAATATAAAATAGAATTTAGTGTGAAAATTGATGTTGTCAAAATGTATTGTAACAGTAAGTATTAATTATTAAGTATCTATAATCTCGTAATCGAGTTGGAGAAAGCAAATTTATTGGAGAAAAGAGTCCGTTTGGCATGAATGCGGAGTCACGAATCCAAATGTTATAAATCGCGCACGTGATATCACGGAGCATCCGAATGCGAACTGCAACTATTACTCTCTCTCCAAGCGAGATATCGATAACTATGAATTCAGTCGTTTTACTGAGAACGACATTCTGAATTTTACTGTATTATGCGATTTCTAACTTTATATCACAACCAAAGAGCTATCTTTTAAATTTCAATAGCTGTTAACGTTAAAAGCGCCGACATCATATTGCACTGTTATTTGAGCATTATTTCAGCTGTTAGTTGGTTACGCGATGTTCGATAATATGCGTACATTATAAAAACGAATTTTGTCCAATAAACGAGAAAATATTACTAGATTTTGTAATGTCGTGCAATATACATAGATTTCACTCCGTGAAATGGTACTCACCTATCGATATCAGATGGATGTTAGCCGATGATCAATTTTTTTTTCTCATTTAAGAACACGAGGATTCGTCAGTCATGAATTTTGTCGTACAAAAGCCGTTGGGAATGTATCGTCGTGTGTCGCCGTTCCCCTCGTAACATCGCCGCGACCGTTGCTACTCGCGCTTCTATCATCCTTGCCGTCGTTATCGTGTTGATACTGTCGCCGTCCACTTCACTCGCGATCTTCCGCAATGGAGCTCGCGACTTTCATGCGATCGCTAGCGGTGATACGACTTTTGTGCCGCGACGAAAATTCCGCGTAACGCATCATAGGAACCGCATAGCTAGAAGGATTGCGAACGCGAGAAGAGAGAAAGAGAAAGAGAGAGAGAGAAAGAGAGAGAGAGAAAGAGAGAAAGTGAGCATCTTCACCGACTTGATGTTGGGTGCGGGACGCGAGTGCGACCTGGCGAAGCCGGTCGACTGCGCGAGGAGAACCGAACACGGCCGAGCGTTCGCTCGGCGGTGGTGGAAGCCGCTGTCGCTGTCGCTCGACGGGTGTGGTGGGGGTAAACGCTCTCTCGTCCCCTGCGCTCGCTCAGTTTCACCGTCGCCGTCGTTGGGAATGTATCGTCGCGTGTTGCCGTTCCCTTCGTAACATCGCCGCGACGGTTACCACTCGCGCTTCTATCATCTTCGCCGTCGTTATCGCGTTGATACTGTCGCCGTCCACTTCGCCGCGATCTTCCGCCATGGAGAAACTCGCGACTCTCGTGCGATACGGTGAAGTGCGACGGGCGCTATCGCGCGGCTAAGTTCAGTGTATACGCGTAGTGAAACTAGTTCTTTTCGGCGCGTCGCGAAATTTTGATCGCACGACTTAACGAGGCGGTACGTAACGTGATCATCTCGTGATTTGATCCGCTCTCGAGATTTATTCGTGGAAGTCCTTCGAGACGGAGGACTGAGACGGAGGGAAAGTTTAACCGAGTACGTAGCCCGGAGATCGCGGCCGTCGGCGGGACGTGCCTCCAACAAGGATTGCTCGACCAGTACCTGCGTTAGGATCGCCCGCCGAGTTGCTGCATTCTCGGAAATCTCAACGGAATATAACGAGGCTTGGACCTCGACAGTGTGTTTCGTGTGACAGTGACGGTTCTGGTTTTGTTTCTGTTTCTGGTTTTTGTGCGATGTGCTACGGTCCCACTGTTCTCCGCATTCTCTGTCTCGTAAGTACCGTCAACAGTTCTCCATTTCGTCGGTCGGTTGTACTTCCGCGGTTGTTTTCTCCTTTTTTTAAATTCGAATCGCACCAATATTTGTGATTCGATTCCGCGATTCGATTCCGTGATTCGATTTCAGAGATGTGTGAGCCCATATAACCAAGTGTCGAGCTTCCATATTGATCTCGATGGATACTGATCGAGATTGAAACAAACTCGAACTTGGAGCGACGGAACGGAATGTGGCGGTGCAAATCCTCGCTCACACAAAATTCTCGCGTATTCTGTGAATCTGTGATGAAAGTGGAAAATGCGAAAGCGTTGTTCGAAGTCGAAGTGCGTTGGTTGGAAAATTAGTTCGTTAACATGAACTCGCCGGTGCACTCGTTCGACGGGGCAACGACTCCGATTTCAAACGCCGCTTAGCCGTGGAAGTACAACTGCCGATTTTTAATGTTTTTGATATCACGTGCGAGTCGAATAGGTGAAAAATCAAAGTGAAAAATATTTTGCTGATACAATCTCGCAAGTTGCAAGTGCTGCGGGTTGTAATATTTGAAAACAGGTGCAGCACAATTGCACCTCGGAGAATCATGTTAGTGGAAAATCAAGGATCTGTTTTGATTGCGACAAGTCGTGCAAATACAACCTCGCTTTTTTTTTGCAAATGTGTGAAATTGTCTTGTTCCTTTATTAACGAAACGCGCAGATATAACATGAACGAGGGAATTATTTACATACATTCGCGAATCTGTGATGCAAATTTTATGCTCTGAAAATCGGTATATAACAATTGTGTATGAGAATTGGGTTGGTTGAAAATTCGTAACAACAATCGCGTGTGTCCAATTTAATTCTGTAATCAGCAACAAAAATACGAAGGATTATAAACAAATTCCATGCATCACATGCAGGAATGAAATTTCTCCAAACGCAGATGTGCGGTTTTAATGTTTTTACTTTATCTTCTTTCAATATGAAACTGTTATTTTGTTTTTGAATTTCATTCGCGATAAACTAAAATTGTCGAATAAATGCAATGAATTATAGTGCGGTTTAGGCGATCCATATATATGTACTTCGATATTTGCTGCAAATAAATGAATGAACGAAAAAAGCAAGCGATGGCACTTTTCTGGTCAATTGCGTGCAACGTATGAATATGCAGTACAAATGTATAAAAGAGCAAATTTTCAAATGTGCCAAATCGCAGAAATATGAATGTTAGTTTTACTACCTTTTTATGCGCGGATTGCAAAGGATCGTTCGAATTGTGATACGCAAAAGGCTAGATCAACGATATAATATGCAACGATATAATATAATATTAGTGACTTATGGAAAAACGTGCATTTTCAAATCTATTGTGTGATATAAATACAATCGATGATTTTATCGTGTCTTTTAACATAGGCTGCAAATGCGCAGGCTATTAACAAATCCGCGTTGTGTCGATTTTATTCGTATTGCGTATGAAAAGTTTAGCAATGTGATAGATGTGATAAGCAGAAAATATGGAAAAATAAGCTGGTTGGAGTTAATGAGTTAATACGGAAAGTATACAAGTGTAAAACCTTAAATTGAGCCGTAGAAATATTATTAAAAGTGTCGTCGTATTTTCATGTGCAAACAAGAAAAGATGATATTATATATATCAATGATTTTGCGTTAAATCTATATGTTCAAATCCGCGCGTGATGGATTCTAATTATTAGAATTATAGAAGTTTGTAAATTCGTCGTAGCGCGAGAACGCGATCATTGATTTTATTTTTTTTTCCGCGAAGTGTACAATATATTATGCTTGTTTTAACGATCAACGCAGCGTAGCAACGAGTCGTTTAGATAACATAGAATATAATAAGCAAGAAATGAGGAAAACTGTGAATTCTGAAAATCATGGAATCGCGGGAATATGATCGGCGACTATATATTGCTTTTTTTCTGCGAATGTATTCGCGCGTTTCAATTTGTCTGCAAAAATATGAAAGAAGCAAATTTTTAAATTCGTCAGATCACGGAAACGTGATCGTCAATTTTATGCGCGCGGGCTACAAATCTGCACCGATAAAGCTGCGAAATTTACGCGTGTTAACTTGAAACATTTGTGAAAAATGCAGAATAATATCAGAATGATATAAGAAGTGAAAAACATGTGACCAAAGTTTTGAATTTGACATACTGCGGAAACGTGATTGCCTATCTCATCAATTTTGTTCCGTGAAAGATAAACATTGATGTGAGTGTGAAAAATTTATGAAAACAGATCATATTTTTAAATACGCGTGAAAGATTTAAATAACAAACATAAATAAGAGGAAAATTATTAAAAATACAAACTTTATCATTTTTAATTAACGCATTTCGAAGATGAAATATAATATCTGAAAGATGTAAAAAAAAGGTGAATAGAATATTAATATCAGTTTGAATAATTTACGAAAAATAAGCACGGGATTGGTTAGGAGTAGCGGAATAACAATTTATCAACCATAACTCTTGAAAACGCTCTTCGTTTCAAACTGACTGTCCGCACTTCTCAAAACATTCGGCACACTCTGTACCTTCGCTCTCAATCATGTCCTTACATTCTCCACCACACACTCTCGATTCCCAATCACGCGTGCACTCATTCTTGTTATTTTCCAAAACTTCAATCACACGCCGCACTCGCTTTCATCATATGCCATACTCGCTCAAAACAGTCATACCGCGCAGTTATCAAACATACCGACATCCTTTCTCACTCTCTCGCTCATTCTTTCACTCTCTCGTGTACTCGTATTTTTTAAATTTTATACAAGTATGAGAATTGAATCGAAAAATATTAACCGCATAATTTGATTTTATTTGACGTGAAAGTGCAATTGTCGACTGTTTAATGTTATGCTGCATAAGCAAAATATTTTGCGAGTGATAGTGTCAGCACATCGTGCGAAATTATGAAGTGACAAGTGTAACAAAAAATTGCACGATACGCGTTTTTCTTTTCTTTTTCTTGTTTAATGTGAAAACTTGACACATTTCCCCACTTTTTAGTGGACAACAAAATAAAACGTAATGACTTGAATTAAACATGGCGATCCTCGATTTTCCATCAGTGATTTCTTCTCAGATTTACAATGCAGAATCGAAATCAATTCTAATCCGAATGTGCTACTACGAGCTGCTAAGTTTACTTTCCACGCGTGAATAAATCCTTGCTCCGTTTTCGCAACGTTTGCGACAGAGGGAAATCTCGGTAGCGGCGCGGAAATGCGGCCTTTGATTTTCAATCAGCGACTTCTCGTATTGAAATTTGATTTGTCACCAATGAAAATAGGAGGAAAATGTCAATTCGAGAAAAACGATGTAGTCGTGAACAGGCAATTCTCCATTCTTGGCAGTTGATTTTACCCGCTTGGGTCTTTTACGATCAATTACAATAGCGTGATTTATCGGAATATTATCGTGATGACAGTTTCTAATTAAAATCTGTTATTAACGATTCGCGCTATTAAGGAAAAATGCATATCACTTACAAGCGTATGGTTAGCAACAAAGTACATGTCACTACTGTAACACTGTTGATAATGGTTGAACAGTATTCTATCATTATTCTCAAGGATTATCAAAGTACGTATTATCGCATCTCTAAATATGAGTTCGAAACATGACTCGTTGTTCTCTTAATAGCGTTTATATCTCTCTCACTGAAGTGTGTATATTTTGATATTTCCCATAAATGTATTTTGATCCGCAAACTCAGTCGTATTTTGAAAAATGTCTGGATACATTTCAGTTAAGAAAAAAAAAAATGCCTTTCTCGTATGCAAAAGCTTAAATTCAAAATTTTAATCGGCAAAAAAATTGATGTATTGAAAGTGTAAATTTATATTTATATTGTTGGGCTGCTTTAGATTTCTAAGGATAATTCGTGAGACGACGCAAGCGTCGCGATGTCGTGTCATTAAGCCAAAGATTACCGGGAGCGACGGAAGGCTCGCTTTGACGTGTCCCGCGGGAAGACCTCCTGTTTGGTCTCGTTTTACAAGTCAATGCTCAAAGCGCGCGTGCACGTTGCCTCGAGAATACAAACTAGTCTGTTTACACGAAAGTCCGCGCGCGCGACCATCAGCTAGCCCGTACGTAAGTAATTTCTCGTTTACAGCGTGCCAGAGAGCTTGCCGTTTTGATAATACGATGTCGAAAGAACGTTGATTGCGAAAAGAAGGAAGTTAAACAGCTGGGGAAATTTTAACACCAAATGAATAATGCAGGGACGAGCTTCGCAAAAGTTAAGAACAGTTTTTGAAACACGCTGTTCGATTTTTCGAGTAGCATTTTTTTACTTTTCGTCACCGTGCATTTAATAATCCAGGGAATTTGTGTTTCAATTACAATAGGATATTTTTACAGCGTATAATATACCTGCGCGGTTCAATCTGAAAAATTTTCTGTGAATGAACAAGTGCTTTTTCATGAAATATAATCCTCTTTGCTTGACAATAAAAGTGACGGAATGAACTGGAGATCATTTATCTTCACAAAGTTCACTCGGCTCTCTAATTTCATTATTATATAAGAAATGGTTTTTTTTTTGGTTTATTTCCTCAATCTTTACATATAGAAAGAAGATAAACGTATTTGAAATCTAAGAGCGGGATTAGGGAAATTGCAATGCTTAATTTCAATGGGGAAGGAAGCCGGGGGGATGAAATCTGGCTAGTGTTGCGGAAATCCACGATCGGTGCGATGTAGTTCGAGTGTGCGGGTGCGCGGTAGATCAACGTTGAATTTTGCAGCGAAACTTAAGGGAACATCGCGGCACCGCGAGCGCGTCGAGTAAGTTACCGCCGCCGTAGCGGAACTTCGTTCCGAAGTTCCTTGAAATTTAGGTGCCGGCGTCCGTGATCGAGGAGCCGACGCGAGGGGAGCGCCTGGTGATTCATTTATATCAATATTGGGTGGGTGCGGAGCGATTAGAGTTCGTCCCGTTGCGTTGTCATCCATCGCGCACGCAACGCA